CAATTGTGGTAAGCACAACCCCGCCATCTTATCCTCGAATGTAACCTTCCGAAATAGACTTATCACCTGGTTTGTTCTTACATGAACAACACGACAGGTGCCACATGTGGAGCAGGATCTGATACCCTTCCGGAGTACTGAGATCACCGCTGGGTTTTTTGGTGGGGTTCGTGTTGCACAGTCTTTAGTTTCCTATGTTGTGTTTTGTCTACTTTTGTTTGTCATTTCGTCGTTTTTTCGTTTTTTGTCTTGGCATTGTCAGTTCTCTTTCGACTTATGAGTTTGAACATTCCTTTGGGTATCTTTCGCCTCTCTTTTACAGTTTTGCATTAATGTCAAGACTTTAGTAGGCTTGCCAATGATACAATTTTCCACCAGAAACCATATGAGGTAACTATAGGTCACCGTATGGCCTTCAATAATGGGAGAAAACAATACAGCATAGGAAACTATAAAAGTACCCGATGTGACAAATGTAAAACAATTCAAACCCGAAAACTAACGGCCTTATCAATATACAAACCAATAGCGAAAAACAATATGATATACAACAGGAAACGACAACTAATGAATTAAATTACTGTTCTCGGGGCTAAATAAAATGATGAGACTACATCGTCTCATTAAACAGAGCTTTTTCTATGAAAATCTGAATCGTAGATAAAAATAACTTGTTTTATGTCATGAAACATTTTACTTTGGGAAGAAATACACCGATTCAAACAACAAATTCACCGAATTTGGTAAGTTTGGTAAATTGATATTACAACAGAAAATCGGATAATGCCAGTGGATACTTATTGTGCAACCCTACTGGTCGACATTGTGTTTGTACTGATTTGAAGGATAATTCATACAGGACCTTCTTGAATACAAAAAAGGAACATCGTGCAAAGTTCCATAATTTCGCTTCCAAATTTATTGATGATGTCTTGTCACTCAATTACCCAATTTTCAGTTAGTGCTTGCATGCATTTCATTTATCTCCCTATGAACTTGAAATTTAAAATACTATCGACACTAAAATGTAGGCTTCCTGTTATGAAGAAGAACAACTGAAATCGACAATACATAAGGTTTATGGTAACCATGCAGAATCTGCCGATTGTGTCCTATTCCCGATTGTAACTGATCTGCCATGTTACCGATTGTGTCCTATTCCCGATTGTAACTGATCTGCAATGTTACCGATTGTGTCCTATTCCCGATTGTAACTGATCTGCAATGTTACCGATTGTGTCCAATTCCCGAATGTAACTGATCCGATTGTAACTGATCTGCAATGTTACCGACTGTGTCCTATTCCCGATTGTAACTGATCCGATTGTAACTGATCTGCCATGTTGCCGATTGTTTCCTATTCCCGATTGTAACTGATCTGCAATGTTACCGATTGTGTCCTATTCCCGATTGTAACTGATCTGCAATGTTACCGATTGTGTCCTATTCCCGATTGTAACTGATCTGCAATGTTACCGCTTTTGTCCTATTCCCGATTGTAACTGATCTGCAATGTTACCGATTGTGTCCAATTCCCGATTGTAACTGATCCGATTGTAACTGATCTGCAATGTTACCGATTGTGTCCTATTCCCGATTGTAACTGATCCGATTGTAACTGATCTGCCATGTTGCCGATTGTTTCCTATTCCCGATTGTAACTGATCTGCAATGTTACCGATTGTGTCCTATTCCCGATTGTAACTGATCCGATTGTTACTGATCTGCCATGTTACCGATTGTGTCCTATTCCCGATTGTAACTGATCTGCCATGTTGCCGATTGTGTCCTATTCCCGATTGTAACTGATCTGCCATGTTGCCGATTGTGTCCAATTCCCGATTGTAACTGATCTGCAATGTTACCGATTGTGTCCTATTCTCGATTGTAACTGATCTGCCATGTTGCCGATTGTGTCCAATTCCCGATTGTAACTGATCTGCAATGTTACCGATTGTGTCCTATTCCCGATTGTAACTGATCCGATTGTAACTGATCTGCCATGTTGCCGATTGTTTCCTATTCCCGATTGTAACTGATCTGCAATGTTACCGATTGTGTCCTATTCCCGATTGTAACTGATCCGATTGTTACTGATCTGCCATGCTACCGATTGTGTCCTATTCCCGATTGTAACTGATCTGCCATGTTGCCGATTGTGTCCTATTCCCGATTGTAACTGATCTGCCATGTTGCCGATTGTGTCCAATTCCCGATTGTAACTGATCTGCAATGTTACCGATTGTGTCCAATTCCCGATTGTAACTGATCTGGGGTAGAAGATCCCTAGCATCCGAAAAATTCAATGTTTTGGTAACAGTTAATTCATAATTAAGATATCAATGAAAATTCATGTCAACACAGAAGTGCTGACTACTGGGCTGGTTATAGATTATAGATACTAGATACAAAAAAAAAACAGATTTATTTTGTTTGGCTTCTTTCATATAAATATGAAGGAGTATGCAACACCCTGGTTTTTTTCGTTTAAAATGTTTTACAATAAGAAAACATTGATTGGTTTATTGGTGTTTAACGCCACTTTCAACGCTATTGTGCTATTTCGTGCACTTTTGTAAATATAGACAATATAATTTCCAATAGGAACTCCTTTTACGGATAAAACTGTGCCACTTGTACTATGAAGTTTCGTAAAAAAACATATCCCAGAATGGAAAGTTCATATGCACTAACTATTTTTTTTTCAAAGCCTTTGGTCAAATCATAGGGCTGTGTGGCATATTTTCAACATTTATATGCCTCGAACTTTTAAGAGTTTAAACTTATACTAAAATTCTGTACTACCCCTCCCTTCACGTTTGGGGTCTCAGAATTTAATTTGGCCGCTATCCAGGTAAATTTCCAAGTTGTGTCTCTATGAGATGAAACATATAGAGATCATATCTGGGAACCAGTAGGTAAACAAAACAATTATATATATCTGGTTTGTGAAACAGCTGTATTTACAAAGTGTAACCTGTAGTTAACGTTATATTATCAATAGGAAAAGACCATATAACTCTGAGGGGTAAAATATTATGAATATTCTGATTGAGAGTTTTAGCAATTAAATTTAATGCAAAATTCTTCCAAAACAATTTTATTCAGGCGTGATTATTGTTTCTTTTCTTATCATCATATATAACATGTCCTTAATTTATAGACCAGTAATTACATGTAGTCATGGTAACCAATTATGGTATATATCAACTATCATACAAGTAGGAGGTTTAGCTAGCTACAAAACCAGGTTTCATCCACCATTTTCTTCGGAAAATGCCTGTACCAAGTCCGGAAACTGACAGATGTTATCCGTTGTTTGATGTAGTCAAGCGTTAGGCTTTGGATGTTTAGATGGACTTCCCCTTTTTGAATGGACGTATTAACACTTGTATGCAAATTTATCTGCCATCATTTAAAGTCAAACACGTTCCCGAAAAATATTGCATCACAAAGTAAAATATTTGACGTCAGAAGGTTATTTGGAGACAGATCTAGGATCACCGATTATTAGAGGCAATTCAGTTTAATAGTTAATACCACAAAGTACGTCTTTTAACCTTAGAGTTCGGTATTGTTGTTATAACACATTTTGCAATAAAATATTCATATTCGTTTACTATTACGTATATTTCCAAACGTGATAATCATATTGACGTAAAACTATAAAATTTGAACTAAATGGAATAGTTATGGTAAGTCATTAAACAGTTATGCGACATGCAAAATGAAAATTTTCTGAGTAAAACGAATAAAAATTTGAAAATCTGTACTAAAAGAGAGGATTAAAATATCAAGTACCAGTACATTGCATGCCATGTGAATAGCATTAACAAAATCAAAAGAGGCGTTGGTCGTAAAATGATTATAACATAACTATAAATATTTATTCATATAAGATTCAAATATAAAACAAATACCACTAAAAGTGGTCCAAGTAAACTGAAGCATTAATTGCAGATGAAATCAAGCCCTTTTATCAGTAAAGAAGTGAATCAGATTTGATTTCATTTGAAACAACATTACCTGAAACGTAGGCTAATAAAAAAGAAAGAAATCATCGGAATACGTAGATCTATCAAGTTATACCTTTGTACTTCAGAATGCAATTTGAAATTCATTAACCCATTTTAGTTAAGATGAACGCTCAAGTCTAAAGTAATATTCTCTCTCTCTCTCTCTCTCTCTCTCTCTCTCTCTCTCTCTCTCTCTCTCTCTCTCTCTCTCTCTCTCTCAGAGTAAGAGATCAATCACTTTGATCCTAGAATTTCTGACTCTTAGTATAGTCATGGTTTTGTAGCTGTTATAAAATATTTGATACACTTTTATAAGTTAGTAATGTAATTTACTAAATCTACCAAATTTTTAATTTAAAATTATTTCTTTTTTTCAAATGGTAAAACACGTACTTTAAGGGCAATGACTCCTTTGAAGAGTCAACTGAAAGTTTTGATGTAAAAATACAGAAGTAGATCTGAACATTCTGAGAATTTCAACCCATGTCATCTTTTCTCCTTTCTATAGCGGTTTCTAAGGTGATAGACAAAACTTGAGTTTTACACCTAAGTTCTATTTATATCAATGTCGGTCGTGTTGGATGGAAAACTGGATCATCGGACATATTTTTGTTAAAACTAGATACACCAAAGATGAGCGTAAAGTTAATAGACAGCGGACGACGACCGCCACGTGATGAGCATAGCTCACTTGACCCTTTGGGAAAAAGGGACGGAATGAAAGCAAAAGGGAAGAATTTTTATTTCCTTAAGAAATACATGGGGTAATGAAATGGATTATTTAGCCTTTTGTAGAGTCGAAACACAACTAATCTTTTTCGAAATATACATGATGTTTCGAGTTCATCCTCCTCTCCTCCACCTATGAGCGCGCCAAAAATCTCTATGAGAAAAAGCTACCAAACGAAACAAAAAGGACCCCCTTGCCCCCCTCCATGCGCGCATAATAAATCACAAATACGTTTAACAGACATCAGAGAATACTTAGGTTTGACAATAAGAACTCTCATAAAACCGTAAAATGTCTAATACTGCTGTAAGGGGGCTTAACAACGGTTAGTTCATTGGCTGTATGTAAAAGAACCGGGTTAACTTATTTTTGTAAGTTCAATAATTTTAAAATCGGGAATTTTAAAACCCTAATAAACCTGTTTTAATGTATAACGCGGAAGTTAAAATTTACACTCTTGTGACTATGTAAGTGTGTTTGTAATACAATGTGAACTCAATGCAGGTAAGGATTTAATTTATCATATTTACAATAATTTAATCTATAAACTGTAACCATCTGTACAAAGATGGGGTTTCAAATTCACAAGGAGAATCATTATATACATATGTAGAAATGGATAAACAGGGGTATATGTCGATTAGACAACAACCAACTTTACGACATAAATAACATAACGAGTTCAAGAGGTCAATATAGACACAATGCTACTATCATCTACTCTGATATATCTATATACTTCAAAGTAAGAATCTTAACTGACGTATTTGATAAAACTAATTTAGATTGATCCAGGTAAATATTTTTTGACGGGTCAAGACGGAATCTTATTAATATCAGACATTCATTTTCTCATCTTTTTTTGCCGAAAAAACGTTAAAACAGACAGAATAGGCATAAATATCTAATCTTGTTTCATTGGTCGATGGCTGTTACGTCCAGTGGGAAATATTACATATACATACATATTCGTGATGAGATATCCTGTTTAGTACCTGACACACAGAATAGTTGTGAGCGCCAAGTTCAGTGCATCTAGTCTGTATAAATAGGATCAAATAGGGAATAAAAATGACAGTGAAAGGAAACTTAGAAAAGATCCAATTTAAACATGGCTGGTCCTTACAAAAATTGTTTAAGACTTCCCTTCAGTATAGTGTTTTACTTCTTATCAAACACAATTTTTAAATCAGACTTGGATCTCTCATTTTAACTTTTTTTCTATCTCGCTATTCAATTCAGGCAAAGTTGACTACAGACAGTCAATCAATTTAGAATATACAAAGATATATAGTTACTCGACCTTAAAGAGATCATCATCATTATACTAAATACACGTTGCAAGTTTCGGTTCCAATTGAACTACTGTTTTATCCTAAAGAGATTTTATTCTTAACAATAATTGTCGAGAAAAAATCACACTGTCCATTTGGTCCAGTTTTGACCAACAATAACAAAAATTCAAGAGAAAATGTGTCGGTTGCTTTGGGGTTTACATGTTATATTGACTTGTAGTTAAAGCCAGTAATCATTGGTTATACCTGGTAAGATATGTCTAACAAACAATGTACACAAGGACTTTGACATTTCGTCAGTTATTATGCTGTGAAGAAATCATTTCATTCAAAGAATACATGTGTGTATTCATGACATATATATATATATGGTGTACAAAAACCTTTGCACCTTTTGTTTGCGGTATATCATCTTTTCCGCAAGTTTATTGTTTTCTGTTTAGTATTAAATTTATAATTAAGATCCATTTATTACATCGGTGATCCGTTTATTTGGCAATCGCCAATGGCAGTCAGCAGGGTTTAAGAACATTTGTTGTTCGACCTGTTAGTCAAATGCATTTAGTTAAAATATACTTTTTCACTTTTTTTGGTCTTTTGGAAAATGTTGTTTGTGCTGTATTTAGACCCCTCTAACAAGACATTTGTTTTGCATGCACACGTATAAAAATTGCAGTTTTTATCCAACACAATCATAGGTATGAACGTTGTTTTCAATTTAGACTTGTTTATATATATATATATATATATATATATATATATATATATATATATATATATATATTATGTACATTGGTGGAAAATATAAAATGTATATGTTCGAGCTTTAGAAGCAGGACGAAAAGCGAGGCTCGCCCAGCTTTTCTCCTGTTTCGTAGCGAGTAAAAATACATTTTATATTTCCAACAATGTACATACATTGTTTTTATCTTGCAATTTACACCCAGCACTTGAAGCTTTAGTTGTTTAAATCTAGGACTTTTATAGTCAATATATGACCCCAAAATGAACTGTTAAGCAAAAAGAAATATCCACCATTATGGCAATAAAAAACAACAGTGAAAACACCATCATTTGAGATTTCTTTTTTTATTCGTTTTTAACAAACATTTAACCAGTTAATTCCAGTATCTTAATTTTCTAATGTAGGATATTCTTCCGTCTTATTTTATGTTTAAATAACATGGAACGTTTCATTTCAAAACTGTAGTATGTTAAATTGTATTGACTTGTTCATTTTTTTTATTATGTCGTTTGATGTTTTGTGTCGTTGGGATGTTGTCTCAATGGGAATTCTAAATACATCCAGGCAAGGATAACTAAAATTCATTATGATCTGATCCAAGTTCGTGTGAAAATCCGTACGCGGCAATAGTTTTTTTGTTGACACCTGTTGTTTCAATTGACCGGTGTGAATGTGTAAATGACAACATATAGTTGACTTTCTTGTCTATTCGGCGTCAATGACTACCCTTATTATAAACTTAAAACACAGTTTTGTATTTTTGTATTTCATTTATTTCAGACTAATGGTTACAAGGTTGACATATGTTTTTCCTGCAGATTGAGATTTTAGATATACATGTAAGACGTGTCCTTTGTGGCTCTGAATGATATTGACATATAAGTAATGATGTTACTCCTGTAGGTGTGAAGCTTGGTGTAGGTAACATGGGTAAGTTGATATGCTTTATGAGATAAAATCAAATAATATATCATAATAATGATTTTAAAACTGTAATGATCATGTAAATGTTTTTCAATTTTTGAATCCCTCCTTGATGTTCGTATGCTTACTAATAACTAATATTTCCATTCAATCAGAAAACTTAAACTTTCAAATACAATTTGTGTAAAAAATATACATGTGATACTTTAAAAGCAAACTGTTATTACAGATTATTCGATGAATTAGTAGCATGTTTATAACGGAGGACATTGGCGAACCTGGCAGCGAGGACGATGGAAGACTACCTTTTATTGGTAGATTCCGGGAACGCGAGGAAATAAAGACATGCTTTAAGAAAAGAAAAAATCGTATTGTACAGATATCCGGTGCACCATGTATTGGTAAACAGAGACTAATCCAACAGGTGCGTGATATTTAATTGGAACTCTTTTTCACCACTCACCACAACACCAGTATGACCTGTTGCAAATATATGTCGTGTTACTAGCTAATTTGAATTTAAACTACATGACTGGTGTCACTGGTGGAGATCAGTCTAAGTTATTGATAGGATTCTTGTTACTCATTATTTTATTGTCGAGAAGCATTTTGTTGATTGAACTTGTGTATTTTTGCCATTTGTCCATGACGTTGTCTGTCATACCTTGACCTAAAGGGTTTTCTATCTCCTTATTTTCTTAATATCTGTCTTTTCCTTTCTACTCGAAATCATACCGATTATAATCAAGAATAGTGTCCTGCAAACGTATTATTCATCTATGTTGAATCGTTTAGGACTATTAGTATAGAAACATATGGGATCCCCATAATGAATTATAAAAGTTGGAAGCAGCAGACACAGAAAATGCTGAAAAACCAATTATTGAAAAAAGGAGCAGGGCAAGCAAAAACTGTAAGTCGATGAAAGCTTGAGACAGACAACACCAGCACCAAACGAAGAACAAAGAAAAGAATGAAATTAAAACAACAGTCAGACAACAGTCTTAAAAACGACACACAAAAAACCAAACTAAAGATAGAACGACATAAACCCAACCAAAAACGTTTTTGGTCCGAATTATTTTAGGTTTTCCCTTACCAGAGCATGTTCTATGCAAGATGCGAGGTATCTTTTTTTTACCTTTACTCGCAGTACATGTAGAACTAAAGATTTTCACTTATCTGTAACGGGCTTAGTCTTTTCATTTTATAAAACAGATCTTGTATATCAAATTCCGATAAAAAGTGTGAAGATTTAATCTAAAAAATAACTTGATTTTAGTGTAATGGCACTTTACAGATAGAAATCTGAAACTGACTGCATGATCATTGAGTAGAATAGAAATTTTTGTATCACAATATATAATCGGATTATTATTCCCCAGCTTTCGAAAACATGCAGTATATCGTGATTTGGGAGTCCGTCCGTCTGTCCGCTCGTTCGTCCTTCTGTCTCACTTTTGTATCCGCGAATGCTCCTTAACCATTTAGCATAATTTTGTGAAAACCTTACAAAATCCTACTCGCATGATGTGCTTTCCATCTTTTATTCATCGGAATGATTTTTGGGGGTTACTTTAGGGTGACATGGACACAGAATTCGTCATATTTGCATACTGTAGTAAACATTGTATCTTCTTCTTTTAAACTCCTGATCATAATTCAATGAAACTTTCTCAGAATCTTAACTAAATAATGCCACTCCTACTTTAATTTTTGTCCGAATATTTTTGGGGTTTCCCTTATCAAAGCATAGATTCTTCACCATATAATGCACCTCCTATTTTGTTTTTGCATTTATTTCGGGTTTCTCCTAACATAACCATTGACTTCGCAAGGTACGGAGGTATTATTTTGTGAACTCTGCTCGTAGTACTTTAGTTACTAAAAGATTTGGACTGATCTTTACCTGCCTAAGTCTTGTCATCCATATAGCAGATCGTGTATCTTAAATTCCGATATGTGTGAAAATTTAAGTAAAGAATAGCTGTATTATAGTATTATGGCACATTAGTGATATACATCTGAAGCTTAATGTATGCACATTGAGCAGTTTACGAAAATATTTATCACAATTTATGATCGGATTAGGAAAGTTCAAGGACTATCATTTAATATTCATTTACCTTACTAAAAAAGTATAACAAAAATACTGAACTCCAAAGTAAATTTGAAAAGAGGAAGTCCATAAAAACTTACAATATCAAACGCTATCAATCAACGGAACAAGTGAAAAACAACTGTCATATTCCTGACTTGGTACAGGCATTTTCCTAAGAAAAGAACTAGGATAGTGCATAAGGTGTTTGCTAATACAAATTTGACACACAAAGGATTCCGCAACTTTTCACCGGTAACACTGAATAAAGATATACTGGCCTAATAAACAAACAAAAAGTCAACAAAACACTTAACAGAAAACATGAGATTGATCACGAACCAAACCAAAACATGGGGGAACTCACATTCCTATCCACACGAACCAAACTAAAACATGAGGGAACTCACATTCCTATCCACACGAACCAAACCAAAACATGGGGGAACTCACATTCCTATCCACACAAACCAAACCAAAACATGGGAGAACTCACATTCCTATCCTGCCATACAAATGATACTCTTTGTTGGAAAAAACGATGGTGATTATTCTGTAGCGGATTTCAAAATTTCTCTCATATAACCCTACGACATTATCAAATATTTCTAAAAAGACAAAAATACAAGGCTCAATGTACATTTTCAGAAAGCTATTTCAAAGCCAATTCTAACAAATAAATGAACCATGTGTATTCAGACTATCAATAGAATAACATAATACATAAAAATCGAGGTATTGACCAAAAAACATTTTTATTTCATGTTTTTATCGTAAATTTTATTCTTCAGCACTTTTTTGAAATTGGCCCTTCTGTGAAAAAATTTCAGGGGAAATTGGCCCTACCTCTTTCAATCAGTTCACATCCAATAGATTCAGTGTAAATACGTCATTAACAGTCAGAGAAAAGCATGGCCTTGTGCATTGTCAAAATACATGTATGAATATTAGTATTTATTGATTGTTCTACAATTTGAAATATCTCTTCTGTTCGTTTTATTTTAGATTTGTGAAGAATTAGACGACGAAAATGAAAAGGAAAAAAATAGTAATCTTCATATTGGACAAATTTCATGTAAATATATACGTTCATGGGAGAACTTTTTAGAACATGTAATCGATTCACTGCCAGAAGATGGGTTTTCTGAATCCGCAAAACTCAGTGAAAACCAAATAATCCGAGTTATCAAATCTCACACAAAACCGAACAATTATGTGCTTTTGACGTTTACAAAGCTTGATAATTTTATATTTGACAAAGAAATCAATGTAGCATTGGAAAAGTTTTCGGATATGTGTTCTAAAATCTTACGGTGCTCATCGAATACCTTCTTGTTGTTAAGTAGTGAAATACGTTTGAATATAAATGTGGGTTATAAAGTACGTTATGTTTCCCTTCTCAGATTACCAGAACCGGAAGCTATATCGTTATTGCGTAAAGCAGCTCCAGATACAGATTTCGCAGATACAGAAAGAGAAATAGTGAATGGGTGTCACTGTACTCCTGGTTTGGTCTTAGAAGCAGCCAGTATTTTAATGCACCCAGACTACATAATCAAACCTAAATACTTAGCTAACTTACTCTGCGACCCAAAAAATGCATTAGATTTGTTCTCATCCAATTTAGTAGCTCAGAACGAACACTTGAGAGTGAAAGTACAAAAGCTTCTGGAAAGACTTCCATCCAGTCTGCAATCATCAGTTCACGATTTAACGTTGCTCCAGGGGTCATTTTCAAAAGAGGCATTACAAGCTGTCTTAGGTCATAAAAAGTCATATGAAACAACCCTTCAGATTATACCTCTGAGAGACTCTTCCGTCCTGGAGTTTGACAAAGAAACCCATTTGTTTTCGATGAATCCATTACTCAGGGCTTGTATTGATGAGAGTCCGAATTTTTCAACTTCCGATCTCGTAAGACTGAGATTTGTTAAGTTTTTTGTTGACCTCATGGTAACTGTTGACAGTAAATTGTATAAAGATTCTCATAAAAGTGTAGTAGAATATTTCCATCACGATTATGCCAATATGAAGCAGCTGTTACAGCAGGCTATACACTGTACAGAGGATATTTTTACAGTTCTGATGAAAGTAAGTGTAATCATTGTCGTAATCATCTGCAGTGCATTCTGATACCATCACTATTTTCCCGCGCAATTTTAGCCCTGATAATATTAAGTCTGGCATGTTGTTATTATGTCAGGTATGCTGTTATTAAGTTAGACATGCTATTATTATGCCATGCATGTTGTTGTTATGTCAGTATCATGTTGTTACTATGCCAGGAATATGTTTTTATTATGCCAGGCATTCTGTTATGTCATACATGGTGTTAATTTGTCAATCATGCTGCTTTATGTCAGCCATACGGATGTCTGATACAGAACGATTGTTACTGATTATACTACACACACAATGCACTTCCATAAAGATGATAACATCTTCTATATGTTCTACCATTCCTTCATTGTATCACAGAACAATATGTTTTCTAGAAATAAGGTGTTGTCTGAACTCATCAAATGTTATATCTTTCTGATTTCATTAGGCAATCTGTGAAGCTGAAGAGTTTTTCATCAAATGTTATATCTTTCTGATTTCATTAGGCATTCAGTGAAGCTGAAGAGCTTTTCATCAAATGTTATATTTTTCTGATTTCCATTAGGCAGTCAGTGAAGCTGAAGAGTTTTTCATCAAATGTTATATCTTTCTGATTTCATTAGGCAATCTGTGAAGCTGAAGAGTTTTTCATCAAATGTTATATCTTTCTGATTTCATTAGGCATTCAGTGAAGCTGAAGAGCTTTTCATCAAATGTTATATTTTTCTGATTTCATTAGGCAGTCAGTGAAGCTGAAGAGTTTTTCATCAAATGTTATATCTTTCTTATTTCATTAGGCAATCTGTGAAGCTGAAGAGTTTTTCATCAAATGTTATATCTTTCTGATTTCATTAGGCATTCAGTGAAGCTGAAGAGCTTTTCATCAAATGTTATATTTTTCTGATTCCATTAGGTAGTCTGTGAAGCTGAAGAGTTTTTCATCAAATGTTATATCTTTCTGATTTCATTAGGCAGTCAGTGAAGCTGAAGAGCTTTTCATCAAATGTTATATTTTTCTGATTTCATTAGGCAGTCAGTGAAGCTGAAGAGTTTTTTTTTTGTATTCTTATTGGAATAACCTTTGCCCCCCTTAATTTAGAATTAAGCCCTATACATATTAGCTCTTAACAATAGTAAAGTTCTTAATTAAATACAAGTAAATTATATGTTGAATACAATCAATGGCGAGCGTTATTTATCAGCCATCCGTGATGATATCGATGTCAGTCACGACTGCAGATGCTCTCCAAAAAATTCAGTATTTCGTCTGTATTACGTTATGTCACGTGAAATACATTTATTTTTAAGTATGATATAAATTGTATGTTATTTGGCTTTTCAGTATCATTCAACATTTCAGTCCTCAACCAGCATAATCCCTCTCAGAAAGCTCTGTGGAGCATATTGGTGTTTCGGGTTGATACGGACGGCATATTGATTAATTTCAACTTTTTGAACATAGTGTAAGAGCCTATAGTAAAACAATTTCTTGATTCCAATATTGTCGAACAAATGATCAGTTTTTCTTTTACCATAAATTCATAATCAAATAATGTAATTTTTATATCATATAAGATTTAGTTTATGGAAAATATTAAAGCCTTATTTCATGACGTATTGAATTATATTTCTAAAAACAAAGGAAGAAATATGTCCATCTGATAAATGTTATGTGTTTTTCTGATTTCACAAGGCAGTCAGTGAAGCTGAAGAGCTTTTCATCAAATGTTATATTTTTCTGATTTCATTAGGCAGTCAGTGAATATGAAGAGTTTTTCATCAAATGTTAAATTTTTCTTATTTCATTAGGCAGTCAGTGAAGCTGAAGAGTTTTTCATCAAATGTTATATTTGTCTGATTTCATAAGGCAATCTGTGAAGCTGAAGAGTTTTTCATCAAATATTATATTTTTCTGATTTCATTAGGCAGTCAGTGAAGCTGAAGAGTTTTTCATCAAATGTTATATTTTTCTGATTTCATAAGGCAATCTGTGAAGCTGAAGAGTTTTTCATCAAATATTATATTTTTCTGATTTCATTAGGCAGTCAGTGAAGCTGAAGAGTTTTTCATCAAATGTTATATTTTTCTGATTTCATAAGGCAATCTGTGAAGCTGAAGAGTTTTTCATCAAATGTTATATTTTTCTGATTTCATTAGGCAGTCAGTGAAGCTGAAGAGCTTTTCATCAAATGTTTTCCTGTAGAGCAAGTCAAAGATTTTTACAATCATCTACTCAATGCAGCAGAACAATATGGGAAACCTGAGGAAATTTACATACTCAAAATGTTTCTGGCCCAAGCAATGACACAGATGAAAGGTTAATATACTGCTTTGTTTTTATTGTCTTCCAAATTATTACAAATTTCGTAACCCAAACGCAAATCAGTTATGGACATCTGTCATAAAAATAAGAATATGTGGTATTATTGCCATTGAGACAACTCTCCACCAGAGACCGAATGACATAAAAGTAGTCTACACTTTGAAAAAAGTATAACAAAAATACCGTACTCCAAGGCAAGTTCAAAAAGGGGGAGGTCTATAAAAACAGACGAATCAAAGGAACAAGTAAAAAAAAAAAAACTTCCATATTCCTGACTTGGTACAGGCATTTTCGGAGGAAAATGATGAGATAAACCTGATTTTATAGCTATCTCAACCTCCCACTTGTATGATGGTTGTTTATAGTTCCGTTATATTGACAAAATTGTGTGAGCTACCAAAACAGACATAATAGGAACATCATATTGCCGTTTATAAGACGTTGAAATCGGTTTTGCATTATTTCAATATCATCGCAGTGATGGAAATGAAAGGCGAACGATACCAAAGTGATATTTAAACTCATAAGTCGAAAATAAACTGACAACGCTATGGCAAAAAATGAAAAAGATGAAAAAACAAACAACAGTATACAAGACACAACACAGAACAGTAGAGACTGAGCAAAACGAACCCCCCAAAAAGTTGAACTTGGTAATTAACGTCAAAAATCAAACCTAACTTTGTATTTGTACTTTTTATACAGCCATATTCAAATGCAAGGACTCTTGTCTAAGGGAGCTAGCATTTGATTTTTATGGAGGGGGAGCTAGGATGAAAAATGTTGTCCTGCATTTTTTGTAGTTGTAATTTCTATGCTGCCTTTTTTTTATTAGTTTATCCTGACTTTTTTACATAAATTGTCATCCTGCCTTTTTTTTTTGCAAAGTTGCTCATTCTGCTTTTTTTTAACTAAAAACTCCTGTCCTGCCTTTTTTCCCAAATTTCATCCTAGACCCCCCACCCCATAAAAATCAAATGGTAGCTCCCTAGTTGCTAACCAAAAAACGTAAAATTAGTAATGTAGCAAGTTTTAATTGTATTTAATTCTGATATATTATAATATATATAAGTAGATATAATATTCCGAATCAATGAATATGTTAAATAAAGGGAACCAATGTTTCGATAGCACGACAGATTTATAAGTAATAATGACACATACCTCAAAATGGAAATCGGTTTTCATACGATATAAAAGTTTCTAACAGTACCACGTGTATTTAGTTTTTGGCACCCATTTTATGAAATGAGGGACTACTGTAATACCCCGTATGAAATATTCTACACAGAATGTACACGGATTATAGTAGGAATATTGCATTGAATTCCTAACAGAAAAGAGTTATATTCTAGTCAGACAGTAGTAGGAATCCACACAGAAAATAGCCCAAAATTCAAATTAGCAGGAATAATTTGTCGGGAAAATAAAATTCCTACTAGAAAACCTGGTAGGAATTTTTCAAAATTCCACCTATAAAAAAATATTTTCTAGTAGGATTCTAAAAATATACAAAATGTAAGTGTATATTTACAAATAAATAACTGGGTCAATCATTTAAGTTTGAATCTCAACAACAAAGAACAAAGGAAATGCATGGAATATATTCATTTAAAAAAAGTTGACTTTTGAAATGTATGATGAAACTGTGATATATCCAAGCTAGAAATTGTGTTATATATGTAGATGGACAAAAATTTTGATTAGATGAAATTGAAGAGTTGTGAAAAAATAAGGTGTAAAATTATGCACTATTGTTGAATTAAGTGATTACTAAATATATTGGCAAACAGATCAACAATTTCATCTTAAAAGTATAAAAATTACCTTCACTCTACATGAGCCATATTTTCTCATATTTCAATATTGTAATTGTTTGACTCATGCAGCATTGTGTTCCAACACAACTTTTCATTCTTTTACCCTCCAACTTTTGAATTTATGAACTGGAACTTCGTTGCATTTAACACAGCAAAATTTGTGTTATTAGCAAACAGGAATCCAGTTTAAGATAAGTAAAAAGATTCCATGTAGAAAGATTTTCTAGTAGGAATAAATTAATTCTGGTAGGAATCTTGTAGTAGGAAAATGAATAATCTAATCATATTTTCTGTCCAAATTCCCATTTAAGATTTTCAAAACAGAAAAAAATCAATACAGACTTTTAAAATTCCTACTAGGTAGGATTTTGCTAGTGAAAAGATAAAAAAATCCAGTCAAAATTTTGTTCATTTTCCCTGTCCGTCTACTTTCTATACAGAATCTTTGATTCTAGGTAGATTCCTACTACATTCCTACTAGTTTCTAGGTGGAATCCTACTACTTATTTCGTACGGGATTGTATTGATAAACTAGAGTTAGTTTTTCTCGCCCAAAATTTCAAATTGCTAGCAGTGGTTTGTGTACTGTAGGTATACAATCATGTAATTATATATTTAATTAGGTCTTCCCCCGTCGTATGACCTAGCGTTAACCAGAGATAGTTTATTTTCTTTAACAGTGGATACAAATAGACGGGAAGTAACCCAGTTGTTTCAGGAAGCATTTAAATCTATGTCATGGGACCATCCAGGGTACCATCATATGACCTTACTTGGATTTCTGGGAAGATTTATAATACGACAGGGAAAATATCAAAAAGGACTAAGGTAAATTATTCTGGATATTTTGTTGAAAATAATCAACCATATAAAGACAGATAGAAATAAATAATACGGGTGTAACAGGTAAAACTGTAATGACATTATTGTTTATACTAATATGACTAACAAAACATACTATAATGAACAACATTTTAAACCCAAGATTTTGTTTCTTCAAATTTTCAAACGCAAGGCATACAAGGGGCTTCAGGGTGAGAAAATTTGAAAATTACATTCACATATAATAATGGTTGGGTATGCCAATTGCTCCACGAAAACCGATTCAAAATGACTAACATTTGTTCTATCAGCAATCAAAACAGAGCTTTATAATCAATGTAAAAGTGTACTGTAAGAGTATTGTGAATTAGATGCCATGTTAAAACCTTCCAGATATTGTTATAATGCATATAGTCGAAGTCAATCACCTAATTCAACAGCATTAAACTATTCCACTTTTCACTCTTTATTCAAATATTTTGCCATTCTGGAGATATATTTAAACAGTTTAGTTTGTATATATTTTGCCATTCTGGAGATATATCTAAACAGTTTAGTTTGTCATAAATAAGACAAAAGACACAAAATACAGATCTAAGAGAAATCGAAAGTCAATAACAGCTAATACATCAATCATGTTTTCACATGGTATGTATATTCATCAGAAAACATCCAACTAGCGTAAAAAAGTTCTGAATACTCTGAGAAAAACGTAACTCAATGCCCAAATATAAGTATCAACAGTATGTACGACCATAAGTGTTCATAACCGATTATCAACACACATTTATGTATGTTTCAATTTTCTAATACCGGTAACATAATCAACTACAGATAAAGACGATACTATTAATACAATATTTTACTAAAGTATTTGATTCATAATCTTGAAAATAAGTGTATTGAAAGGATAAATAAGTTTTCATGGATCTTATCTAAATTTGCAGGCTCTTTAAACAACATTACTGTCAAAATTAGGATATGATATCACGTCTGTAATAAGGTTTCTACAGCTACAGCCAAACTTTCAATCCTAAGTATTTTTTAAAAACCAAGTTGTACATCTTGTCTGGAAAGTTTACAATGTGTACGGTTTTCTTTGGTTCAGTTTATAAACGTTTTTGTCAGTTCAACTTATTTGTTTAACGGTCTTGACATATGTCGTTTGATTATTTTTGTCCTTAGGTGTTACTGTCTCATGAAGTTAACCCCGCATCTCCTTAGCCGTTACTGTCTCATGAAGTTAACCCCGCATCTCCTTAGCCGTTACTGTCTCATGAAGTTTACCCCGCATCTCCTTAGCCGTTACTGTCTCATGAAGTTTACCCCGCATCTCTTTTTATAAAGACAAACATGTCACGCGCTTTAATTTAGGACCTTTGGAACATATTGGTACAACAGAAAATGCTATGTACATCACAGGCTGAATCATCATTTTGTTTAAGTTAAATGATAACGAGAGGAAAACTTTGGGAAATTTATAAATCTAATTACTAAATAACTTCCCCAAAACTGAATATATGTTTATTGAACCTAATTACATTAATTCATAACAATTATTTAGACACGAGACAGGAAATACATGTATAAAAATCACATGAGTTAAGTAATTGAAGAAATACAATTTTACCGACAAACCATTCGTAATACCACACTTTTCACACTACACACTATTCAATCACGTGACGCGAAGTATATAAAATCACATGAGTAAAATGATTGACGCAATATTTTCATTCATTTTCAATTGAATCACTACCAAATAGAGTTAAGAAATAATTAAAATATGAAATCTAATTTCCCCTGAATGGTTTTGCCAGCATATCATAATACTATATCTTCCTTCTGCAAATTGTTAAATCTTGTTATTGAATGTTAAACGCGTGTGTATATTTATTATGCTAAGGACTATTTAAAAAGTAAAATAACAAAAAAACCGAACTGCAAGGAAAATATTTGTCGTACTGGTATATTTTAGCAATATTAATTAAGTAAACATTGTTTTATGTCATTTTTTAAAAACTTTTTCCATCTGCTTGGTGTACATATTTTGCCATATATTATAGGAAGTTTTCCCAATGGGGTATCTAATTTACTCCATGGTATCATGATTAATTCAACTTGATAGATTCTAATAATTTGGAATGGATAGCAAGAATTTGAACTTATATTAGGATAAAGCATGATAGATGCAGGATTTCCTATTACATTTACCGACATCTAAGTAAAAGTATATATGATCTATCTAAATCTAAGCAGGTAGGTTTTTTATAAAAATTTTTAGCAGAAGATTGACAAATAAATTAATCTTATTTTGAAGTAATTTATCATATTTTGCATCATTACTTCACATTTAGTTTTAGAATAATTCATCTTTTTTATTTCAGATTTATACAGTCCGCTATAAAGATGAAAGTAGATGGGAATACTAGAGTACACAGAAGGCTTATTGAATTCCATGTTCAGAAAGCTTTAGCAGAAGTATTTAGAGGTATACATGTTACCTTGAAAATAGTATTCAAACAGTTAATCACGAACTTCTTTTTTCCTTAAGCGTTAGGCAGAAGTATTAAGAAGTGTGCATGTTTCCTATATTCCATAAGTTCCTCTTTTTTCTTTTTAATATTCATAATTTTACTTTGCAGATTTGTTGATTTTTTTAATTGCTTTTTTATTTTTATTTAAATTGAAATCTTGATCAATCTCATAAATTTTCATGTTTTGTACCTCTCTGAACTAGTTTGATAATATTAGTAATCTAAACTTTTATTTGACAAAACGAATGTCTGGAATGCACACTGGCCAATTCGGAGTGTATGTGACTTAGTATTATGAACGATACAGTATAGCATGTTCATATTTAGTCAATCATGATCTAGTTTTAGTTAGGTGCAAGTAACAGACATGTTTAATTGTGTTCTTGGGCTGCTTTCCAATGGTAGTATACCAAATATATCTTCTTGTGCTTACTTAAGATTGTTTTCTCAATCAAATGATTATTTCAAACCCAACGATAACAAGACGTCTAAAGTCAACATACGGTCTTCAGCAAGAGACATGTGTCTACATACAATAATCTAATTAGGCATTTTGTGTCTATATACAATTTGTCAATGAAGTTTTGTTGTGTTAAAGAAAGGAGATGTGGTATGATCGTCAATGTGACAAATATCCTCCAAAATTACAATGCCGTGGATATAAGCAATTATAGGTAATCGCACAGCCTTCAACAACGAGAAAAGCTCAAACCGTATATTCGTCTATAAAAGGCCCAGAAAATAGGACAGACATGAACCAACGACAACCTCTGAAATACATGCTCCTGACTTGGGTCAGGCACATAATGAATGGGGCGGGTTTAAACATTTTCGTGAGCGCTCAATCCTCTCCATAACCTCGGACAATCGGCTTAACTCAATATATCGGTACAAAATACAACTAATATAAAAAAAAAGACACAAAGCACAGATAAATGCGTCTATATGCAATTTGTCTGTAAATGTTAGTCAATTTGTCTGTAAATGTTAGTCAATTTGTCTGTAAATGTTAGTCAATTTGTCTGTAAATGTTAGTCAATTTGTCCTTTTCCTGATCGGTTGATTATTAAAATTTTAAAATATGACGTCATATGTTCTTGCTGTCCTCTGAAGAACTTCATATTGTAACGTCACGAAGAAAAAGCGACAACGTCTAATGACATCACATAGAAAAAACACATTTTGCAGATCATTGGAAAAAGGACTAAAATAAATGCTTTTTACATATCGTCTAAAATCATTCTAATATGACGTTCTTATTTCGCTATGTAAACACAGCCGTGTTCTAATTAGCACAAAATATGTTTGACGCTAACGCTCAGTTGAAAATATCGACAAATATAATGCCTTACCATGTTTAAATGAGCATAGAGCATGACATGAAGGAATTATTTCTTAATTAGAGAAACAGATTAAACCATCGAATTCGGTGCAATACGACATTTCTTCCCTTACGACAATTAAATTCTTAATAATACCAAAACGCTCGACAAACCCCATTAAATTTCCAAATGTATCTTTCTCCAGTTAAGGGCATACGATACGGGTTTGATCCCATAATGAAAATTTGATGAAAATTTGCAAATAGGCTATTTATAACCTGATTAAATCAAATATGTAATAAAAAATATACCTTCATGTGCTACTTTTTGAGTAAAATGAGTTCGAAATTTCAGATATTTGCTCAAAATTCGGATTTGTGGACGTATTTTTCCTTCCGACAGAAATGCATAACTTTTTTGTTTTAAAAGATAAACACAAGCTGTTTTTTGTTAAATTATTTGTAATTTCTGTTTTATATAAGTATCGTATAAATTTATGAAATCTTTTGTTTAGAAATAACTCAAATTCATCAAATGTTCATGAATGTAGAAAAAAACCTCATTTTTTGCTGTATATTTATCAAATTTAAAAAAATGCATAATTGACATTTTCATGAAAATTGGTACAAATAATACGCAATCAAACCGAATGTCATTTAAAAAAAAGAGGGGTCCATGAACTCGTTTTCAAGTTAAATCAGTTTGAATGAAAAACATCAGTCGAAAAATACATCTTTTCCCGATATGTCACAGTTCATGACGTCGCGAAAATAACATTTTACGTTAGCAACGTCATTACCTCCCCTGTAACTGTATCGTATGCACTTTAGAAATATTGTATCATACTCGATGCAGTGGTCGAATCTATATATATTCTCAGTTATACATTTGTAATACGAAGTAAGAATTTTAAAAGGGCATTTATCCTTTCCTAGATTTAGATATTTTAGTTTTCCACGGGAATTTACGACAAATGAGACGAGTTTTCTTTCCCTATTGTTCATTTTGATTTTTTTGGATGGAGATTGCTCATTGTTGAAGGCCATACGGTGGCCTATACCAGTTATCTTCTATGTCATGGGTGTCTGGTGGAGAGTTGTCTCATTGGCAATTATAGCACATCTTCTTATTTTTATATTAACACAGAGAAGAAAAATAATATAATGATTATATAACTTTTCAATTTGTCAATTAGAAAACTTTTCGACAGCAGAAGAAGCATTAAATGAAGCATTGGACCTAGCTCAGAAAGAGGCTCCGTACCATTCAGCAATAGCTATCATATTTAATACATTTGGACTCATAATGGATAGATGTAAGTTAACTCGACAAATACTGATACAACAGAATCCCATTGGAGATAATGATAAATATAAAAATAAAAATAGGAAAAAACATTTTCTTTGTCTCTGTGGTATATTCAATATTTAAATCCTTGATAAACCTTGATCGAAAACAGTATTTTGACGGTACAATACGTTTTGTCAACAAAAAGTCGTGTGTCGTTTATGGTCTAACTGTTTTAGTTGGAGCGCCACTGGTGAGTCTTAAGTAGACGAAACGCGCGTCTGGGATACAAAATAATAAACTTGTTATCTTTGAAGTATTTGTAGATTAAAGATCTCAGTCGCCTTGTCGAAGATATCATAATGAATTTTACGTCACTTTCAAAACATAAGCTGGTGTCTTATTGTTTAAAATTGTCTTCCTATATAATCCTCCATGTTCCACATATGATTAAAATGGCTATAAATTAATATGTAGCATATCAAAATGAAAAAAAAAAGTTACATCATAATTTTTTATTAATATGAGTTGTAAATACAAGCAACAGTAGTTTACCGTTGTTGTAATTTCATCAGTCGACCGTTAGTCAAATCAAGGTACCGACAAAAACTGAAGGAAGAAAGAGAAGAAGGGACAGGTCGATAGGGCATGCGCCTGCTACTATGCATGCACCACTCGCCATGGGAAACTACACCCAGGTAAAATGTCACAATTTGGAACAGAACAAAAATGGTCATTATCATAAATTATCTGTATACAAAACTTTGAATTTTTCGAAATACTAAGGATTTTCTACCCCAGGAATAAATAACCTTATCTGTATTTGGCAAAACCTTTCGGAATTTTTGGTTCTCAACGCTCTTCTACTTCGTACTTTATTTGGCCTTTTTAACTTTTTTGATTCTAGCGTCACTGATGAGTTTTTTGTAGACGAAACGCGCGTCTGTCTTACACAATTTTAATCCTGGTATCTATGATGAGTTTACTGGTAAAGTTACAGATGAGATAACTTTTCTGGTATCTAAAGATCAAAGACTGCGAAAACATAACGCAAGTGAGTTGAAACAAAGACATATCGTTTAGGTAAACTAATTGGTGATGGTGACCGTAAAACTTATGAAATGTCTATTTCAGTCGATCGTCCTCATATTTGTGTAAGGTAGCGTACCTTTATTAATGAAGACAATATAGTATGAACACTCACGACCATAACGTACCAATTAAGATATGTAATCGCTATACGATGGAACAGAGGGTATGGTACTGCTGAGAAATGGGAAGTCCTGAAATCATTTCGTTTGTTATATATTCTAGTTTGAAGCGTACATTTGTGCCACTATCGAGAAAAAAAAGACCACGAGATGAAGAAGACCTTCTATTTTTGGTAGCATCCCTAAGCTCAAGTCCACTGAGATATGTAAGATAAAGGTTATTGAAAAACAGGACATCATCAATAAATCTAAGCTCAAGTCCACTGAGATATTGATTAGGGTTATTGAAAAACAGGACATCATCAATAAATCTGATTTTGCAAAATGCTTTTTTTTCCTTTTTGACTTTGATAATGTGTGGTATGAGTTTATATGAGTACGAAAACCATTTTGGCAGTAGGGGTGCACAATTAGTACCAATTGTAAACAAAAAGCTATGTTTGATGAGACGATGTATCCAATGTTTCTTTTGAGCATAGGGGATAGTAGTGTAAAGCGTAGAAAAATGAAAAGTTTTGATATAACTGCAACTATGTCCAGATTATGACTGTAGATTTTGCCGTGGATCTACAGAAATTTTAAGAACCACATCTGATTGACAACATTGGTTGAGTAAACATTCCAACATTTCTGAAGACCATCTTAAAAGTCATCGTGAATTGTCATACACATTATTTTACCTGTTACCTTTCACAAATGACAAACATACAGTAGTAAGTATTTAAATATATGATATTGAATAGTAAAACTCATCAAAGATACAAGACATATAGTTTGGTAAGCCAGACGCGCGTTTGGTCTACATACGACTCATCAGTGGCGCTCGAATTAAAAAATTTGGAAATCCAAATCAAATTTGAAGTTGAAGAATACGACAGAATCAACTGACTGATTGTTTTGTAGCTGGACGAGATGAAGACAGGGCTCTTCAGTGGTACAAATCATCTCTCGAGGAAAGACGGAAATTTGCAGATATATCACCGGAAATACTTGTTGCACCACTAAACAATATAGCAAATCAGAGTGTTAAACGAGGAAATAATGGTAAGTATTGTAATTTACATCAAATGAATATTATCTTTTTAATATAGGGAGCACTTGAGGTCACAACGGGTATTCGGTCGGGTTCGTTGTGCTTTGCGTTTATATGCATATGTCATGCCCACCGGACTTTACTTTATATTGAATTCAAAGGTTTAACCCTTATTAGAAATAACTATCAGAAGATAGATTTCGCTAAACATTGTAATTAAGTTAGTTTTGACAGAGTTGGATAATTGTCTTAAAAATACTAGATACTGAATGTCTGTGCTTCTTTGTTAAATTTATTTGTTTTTATAGTGATTAAGATGATAACACAATATTGACTGCTATACCCCTATTTTTAACATTTTTACCTATTGTGTCTGTTTGTTTTGTTCACGCATCGTTGTCAATATAATGAAATTTGATGCGACTGTCATACAGGTTTAGCTAGCTATAAAACCAGGTTCAATCCACCATTTTCTACATAAGAAAATGCCTGTACCAAGTCAGGAATATGACAGTTGTTATCCATTCGTTTGATGTGTTTGAGCTTTTGATTTTGCCATTTGTTTATAGACTTTCCTTTTTGAATTTTCCTCGGTGTTTAGTATTTTTGTGATTTTACTTTTTTCTTTGTGAACATACCAACAAATATTGTAGATACATGTAGTGTCAATGGAATCGCTATGGAGCTTATGGTACTTCCATAAGTTATAACCTGGCCTTTATTGAATGAATTTTCTGTATTCGGCTTACTTAATTACCGAAATGCTTGTAACAGTTAACCAATAACTTCACGCTGCTATGTGTACCCCGGTTGGACGTATAACAGTTTCAAAGAATGTTTTGTTTCAATAAGAGTGTTCTCTATTTTCAAAAGAAATTGTATCTACATTGGCCATTCTATTTAATGAAGCAACGTTTGGCTAATTATTTCAATCTGTCTTTAAGGGTTCTTAAGTTTAGAATGCGGATATTTCAGTGTAGTGAGTAAAATACTAGTAGTCAAATGTTTTATACTATAACAAGCGGTAAGCGACTTAGATTGTATGTTACTTTAATTTATCTTTGGAATTTTAAGTTAAGTAAAATATAACAGTTTTAGACAGTCCTAATCCGATTATATATCTCAAAACATTTTCTGATGTGCATGTCGTCAATGTCAGATTTTCATATTTAACGTGCAATGATACTATAATGCAGCTTAATATAATTTTACACAGTTTATTGGAATTTGTAATACAAGATATTTATCATGAAATAACAAAAAATTATAAGGTTGAGATAAAAATAATAATATAGCAATCAGAATTCTGATATAGAGCAGAAACAGTGAGGCTCGAATCAATACAGTAAGAAATACAAATAAATGACGAATTTGAAGATCATTTAAGTTAAAATTTAAAAAAATCTGCCAAATAAATTAATACTACTAGCCCTTCAGTATAACGGACAATTTGTCCTTTGGTAAATGCTTAGTACATGTTAAAGAGAATTGAAGGGAATTTTGAATGCATACAATTCTTGTCCCTTAATAAAAAAGATTCAGAAAACTTGTGACCTTATTTGAATAAAGATACAGTCTTTACACATATAATAAGATGACTATCGTGTTTCTATTCGGAGTATTTACGGTCTTGTAGGACATGACTGTCCTTCCATTCCACTGGTCAGTTCAACAAATGGTGACCAATACAGAGTGCAACTGTTTCACCTCCCTTTTTGTTGGGTTCGTGCTGTTAAATCATTAGTTTTCTGTTAAATGGTTTGTGGACTGTTGCATTTAGTTTTCTTGTATTTCTCTGCGGTCATGTTATTGTCCAGTTGTCTTGTATTTCTGTGTGGTAATGGCATTTTCCAGCTGTCTTGTATTTCTCTGTGGTCATGTTATTGTCCAGTTTTCTTGTATTTTTCTGTGGTCATGTTATTTTTAAGTTTTCATGTATTTCTCTGTGGTCATGTTATTGTCCAGTTGTCTTGTATTTCTCTGTGGGCATTTAGTTGTCCAGTTTTCTTTTATTTTTTTGTGGTCCAGTTTTCTTCGAATAGTAATTTTTATTGTCCATTTTGGTATCGTCTCTCTTTATCAAAGAATGTGAGACTATGTATCCACATACATGATTTATTGGACAATCAAAGAAAAAGATTAAAGCCATTCGTTATTTGTTTGATAATATGTATGTTGTCTTTGGACATAAAGTGTACCAAGCCATTGTTATTGCGATGAGGACTTTCTATGCCCTTTCTTATTGCTGATTTAATCTTTTCCTGTAACGAATCACAGTTAATGGTAAATATGCATGGTTAGATTCGTATACCTTGCTTAACTGGTTGACCTCTGTTTGCTCCCTGTAACACTTTCCTATTTTCTTAGCCACTACAAAGGAGATCATATTAATGTTTGGTACCAAGCTTTATACTGCTAAGCTTGTGATAAATTGTCAGATCCTTCAATGTTCTATGTTTTTTTTTACCGCATACATAATGTAAAATTGAGAATGGAAATGGGGAATGTGTCAAAGAGACAACAATCCGACCAAAGAGCACAAAACAGCCCAAGGCCACCAATGGGTCTTCAACACAGCGAGAAAATCCCGCACCCGGAGGCGGGATTCAGCTGGCCCCTAAACAAAAATGTGTACTAGTTCAGTGAAAATGGACGTAAAGTATATTTAAGTATATAGGCAATTACTCATCATTTATTCAAGTACCTTGAAACATGCAAATATCCTTTATAAGTCATTAGAAATATATATATATATGGCTTGAAAGAGACATTAAGCTTGCTTAGTGGAATAAATGAATTAATGTTGAAGTGGAGGAGAAAAAAAAAACTAAATAAAACAAAAATTAAGTAAATTTCAAACAAAACGTTGAGTGTCACTGATGTATTTTTGAATAGATTTAAAAATAGCAATATTCATATCATATGAAAATAATCTGTTTCCAAAAAGTAATAATTCAATATTTATGTCAACATTATCAGCAATGGAGTAAATAGAATCAAGTAGGATCTGTCTTACATCATTGTACTTAGGGCAAACAAAAAAGAAATGTTGGTTATCCTCAACAGGGTGATTACAGTTTGCACAAAAAGTGTTCTCGGATAAGAACTGATTAAACAAATGAGATTTTAGGTTGCTAGCATTATTTCTGAGTTGACAATGACTTATATCAAGTTTCCTTATCCTATAAAACTTGTCCAGTCCACTTCTAAATATACCCAAAGGAAGACTATTCCAAGGTCTTATAGTGGAAGGAATGAAACTATTAAAATAAGAGCTAGTTCTAGCAAGAGGCGATGAAAAGTGTTATTTTAATTATTTTAATTATTTAACATAGAAAGCAATGGGGCAATGAATTAGTGGTTTTATACCTAGTACTGAAAAGCACGTGAAATTCAAAGTTTTGAAATCATACCCATTACAATGAAAATTGGTCACATTTGTTGTTAGTTATCATGTTACATTAATTTTTTTATGTAACAATTATTTTGGTGTCAAATTACAACCTTCAAATTGCTACAGTAGGGTATCAATTTGTACTTTCATTCGAAACTGTTATTAATTAGAAATATATTTCGACAATGCTTTTACAGACATGCAAACTAAAGTTATTAAGAATGTAGTGGTCTTTGGAATTGAAAGAAAATCACAGATTCATACGTCACATCTCACTTGGTATATTATGTCAAAACGTATTTTGTATACTTGTGTAAAAAAGTCACCCTCGGGACTAGATAAAACTGACTCTATAAAAAAGTTTCAAAATGCCTAGGTATTACTACATGTGGATAAGAAGAGGATGAACTGACAAAATAATGACAAACCCAAACAAATAGCGATCAATACAAGTCTACAAACAATATCTGAATTTCAGTTTTGTTTCAATTCGTGTTATATTTTTAAAGTATTTGAAAACCTTTTATGGGTAATTTGTGTGGCGTTGTCCGTTTTGTCTACGTAGTGATAACTTTGATCTCTCTTATCGACATGATTTTATTGTCATTTGTTGTCTCCATATCCACATAGATATTGATTACCCCATTAGTTTCTCCTTGTCGACATGGGTTTTGGTTATCCTTTTGGCGTCTCCTTAGCGTCCTACGTTTTGATTTCTCCTTGTGGTTTCTTCTATCTTTCTGTAAATGCCAGGCATAACTTTCTTTAAACACCCATGTTAGATTTTTAATATTAATTAACATTGTATACGTACGTAGTACTGACTTATTTTAATCTATATGCATAGTGTTATAGTTATAAAGATGAAAACATAAAAATAACAAAACAGTTTTGCATTTTAATCATTTAAACCTGTCTAAACAAACTTAGAAATGTTCGTTGGTCTTATCCAATACAGAAGTCGTTATTCACTTATTCTTTTAACACGTTGATTTAATCAAACTTGTACTCGTTCATAGAAGCTTGTTTTGCTCAATCCTTATCAAAATGTCGCATTCTTTTGCCTTTTGGCCATGATGTGGACTTTTATTCGATGACCATATTCCTATCTTCATCAGTATGAGTAAATATTTTGATACTGTTGAACCTGGATATGAAAAGCATTGTAGATTTGGTATTTTTTTTTGTAATTATAGGGTATTCATATACAATTTTTTTTCAAATTGTGCATTTTTACGAACAAAATAGTAATAAATATCCTTTTATCGTGAAGGGAAATTTCTTTTTTTGTGTCAAATCCGCATTTTACAGTTTGTGATTTTCTAAAGTACATTCATGATTTTCAGGCTATGCACTAAAACTTACAGAGGAGGCGTTAAATATCAGAAGAAAATGTGGATGGAATGATTATTACACAGGCCTAACCTTACGTCAGAAAGCAGAAATATTCTTAGTACAGTATGTTTCATTCTCTTATTCCTAAAAAGATTAAGAAGAAAAAAAAATCTCAGAGAAATTAATTACACAACTCATACACACACAAAATGTAATCTAAAATGTAATACAATCATAACTACAAAATTGAAATTATCTCTTAAATTGTTATGAGCGATAAGGTGACAAATGTCCAATTTTAAGAAAGCATACATTACAACGGCCAATCGGAAAAGATGGTAACGTTAAAGGGACAAATTATTACTGAACCAGATGCGGATTCGACAATAAATATTTCATCAGTAATGCACAAACTAAACATGAATTTGAAAATACAAAATTTAATACAAAAGTTGAGGAGCTGATAAAACCAAAACGTATTAAAAGTTAAGCCAATCCAGACGATGAATATGGGCCATGCATGAGGAATTTACATTCCTTGATTTTAAAGGATTTACAAAATTTTATAACGGCAAATTTCAATAAAACAATATCTGTATTTTCATGCCAGTACTAGCTACTAGGTTGATGATACCATCGGGGAATAACAGTCCCCCACCACAGTTATCTACCAAGTGATTGTTATGCCATGAACGTGACCAATTGTACTACAACAGATACGAATTTCGAAAATTATCGTCTCCTCAGTGATGCCCGAACCAAAAATATTTGAAAATTCACAATTTAATACAAACATTGAAGAGCTGATAAATCCAACACTGACCAAAACTATAGCCAACCCTGGACAAGAAAACGGAGCTATGACAAATCAATTAACCAAAACAAGTTAAAAAAAAATACATTCCTTCATTTTAAATGATTTACAACATTTTATAACAGTCAATTTCAATAAAACAATATCCGCATTTTCATGCCGGTAACTACTCACTAGTCACTAGGTTGGTGACACCATCAAATAAATGTTTACAATAAGTCAAGCTGTCATGGCACAAATTTACTAGCATTTTCTTTAAAAAAAATCTGCCATGGGAACCAAAATCATAAAAGGGCAAGAGCATAATATAACTACAAAATAACAACTTATTAGATTAGATAACTTTTTTTCAATTGACTATTTGAAGAGATTGGAATTAATGGTATGAACGAAATGCTACATTCAAAACTATTATAACATATTACTGCTTCCATTTTTGTCTAAAATTGAAGTTAAGCAAACACAAATCAATCAATCCTTCCCACTAAAACATTTTTTCAATACTTTTGTTTATTAAATTAGTCAAAATCCGCTTTCAATGCAATAAGGCAAATTATAGATTCTAACCACCTACTCGTAGTATCTATTTTTTTTATTAATTTTTTTTATCAAGTATTCTGACATTACTTGATTAAAACATAGATAATCTAAAGTCGACAATGTGAAATAATCAGGTTCTAAATATTTTCGAGATTGAAAATCTATCGGAAGGTTTATCGCATACTAGATCTTATAATTAGTCCCCTAATGGCAAGCAGTTTCAGGCTTGTATAATCCTTGGGCAAATGTAAATACAATAAGGAGATGTGGTATGGTTTCCAATAGAAGAACTAACCAACATGGTCCAACATGGTCCACATGACAATAATTTTAGCAATTATAGGTCACCGTTCGACAAGAATAAGAAAAAACCCATAGCGTTAAGTCAGTTTTTAAAGGTCCCGAAATGAGAAATTGTGGAACAGTCAAACAAAATAACCAACGAACATATATATGACAAATCAATAAACCAAAACAAGTTAAAAAAAAAAATACAGCCAGTCATTGGTCAGATTTATCTGATACATGCTGGCAAAGGACATTTTTGGCCTAATGTTGTACTGAATTTGAACTGTTGATTTAAGATTTCAAGTCATGTCTGTTTTGGAGTTTAGGAAATGCCAACTAAAAACGAGTAGATCTTTATCCATTAAGTCACAATACATTCAATTATGACGTCCTGCAATAAGCCCCTCTTTGTGTTTTCGTGAAAAATACATAGATTTGGGTAAATAAAGGCAACAGTAGTATACCGCTGTTCAAAAGTCATAAATCGATTGAGAGAAAACAAATCCGGGTTACAAACTAAAACCGAGGGAAACACATCAACTATAAGAGTAAAACAAAGGAACTACAGAAACACTGAAGATTAACATAGTTTTCGGACCTACAAATATAGAGCACGTTCATGTACCCTCAAAATAACTTACTACATGTTTTGTTCATTAAAAACACCATTCATCTAAAAAATTGTTTAGTACTTACATGTGCTCAATATTTCCTACTTACAAATATGATTGAAAATATGCAGATTATGTAATTTTATTTTATAGAATTAAACAGTGACCTCTAAGATCGTAAATCATCGCGGTTAATGTTCATAATATTTTAAAGATTTTACAGTTTGAACTTTACACATACTAATTAATTGTTTAACTAGAATCACCTAGTTTTAGAAGTAACTAATTTTTGTAGGCACAATAGAGCATATAGCGCACGCCCTCATTACTATTATATAAAAAAACTGTTAAAGCCAACGTTTATTTGATCACGCATTGTAAAATAAGATAACATTAGCTAGTGGGTAGAAACTTTGGTGAAAAATGTGATATTATGTGTTGGTGTAAAGTAATGTTTCATCTATGTTATCATATTAAAAGACGGATTTAATTCACTAATTAATAAACAACAGTATTCAATAATCCATTTATTGTTGTTAGAAACTATACGCAAGACGCTAAAAAAATATGTATTAGGTGACAAACATGTTGCAGTTGTTAGTACACAATTTCCCTTGAACATTTCCCAGGATTTTTTTTTATTATTTGTATCTTGAGAGCTGAAATAGGGACACTTTAAATGTAAGGGCAGAAATAATCGACAGTAAACTATCTAAATGAATTCATATTTGACTTGAATGAAATAACCATTTATCAATTTCATGCGTTTGAAGCGCTTTTCATGATTTATTTTCAATAGGAAAACTCAATCCTAAACAGTTAAAAAGTAAAATAACAAAAATACCGAACTCCAAGGAAAATTGAAAAAGAAATGTTCCTTTTCAAATGGCAAAATCAAAAGCTCAAACACATCAAATGAATGGCCAGGGATTATTAATACGTAGAAACGCTATGAGTTCTATCACCAAGATGCACATAAGAATAATAACTAAATTAAATCTAAGGTCGACTTTGCCAACTTTTACCATTCTATCGACCTACCATAAAATATTTTGATACCAGGTAGAAAAGGACGGAGGTTACCTTTACGCTGAATTTAGAAAGAACAAATTGCGCTGGGCATATTTATTGACGAATGTGAATTCAAATCTGAAATATATATAGAGTGTCGTCGAAATACGCATTGTTTAAAACATATCAAATAGTCAAAAGGAAATACTCTTTATATGCACCAGAGAGCAAGCAATAGCAGGTTTGTTTAATCGGTACTTGCAAATTTGCTATTATATATAAGAACGTTTATAGCAAAACATGTATTTGATGACGCATTTGCATTATTAAATGTATAGGCTGACAAAATTAGGTAATATGAACAGGTGGATAGAAACTTTAAACTGTTATATATAATCAAATGAATATTTTTAAGGGAAAATCTATCGAATGGTCAATCATAATTCATATATAATTAGCCCCTTATTTGTTGCTTGCATGATCTATGCTGCGAATGTACTTTTATACAAAAACGTTGAACGTGTACTTTATAAGGTAATGGCCTTGTAAAAGGAATTGTATGTCAAAACATTTAATTCAATGAGTTTGTGGATGTAACTACAGTATAAAATTGAGAATGGAAATGGGGAATGTGTCAAAGAGACAACAACCCGACCACAGAACAGACAACAGCAGAAGGCCACCAACAGGTCTTCAATGCAGCGAGAAATTCCCGCACCCGGAGGCGTCCTTCAGCTGGCCCCTAAACAAATATATATACTAGTTCAGTGATAATGAACGTCATACTAAACTCCAAATTGTACACAAGAAACTAAAATTAAAAATAATACAAGACTAACAAAGGCTAGAGGCTCCTGACTTGGGACAGGCGCAAAAATGCGGCGGGGTTAAACATGTTTATGAGATCTCAACCCTCCCCCTATACCTCTAGCCAATGTAGAAAAGTAAACGCATAACAATACGCACATTAAAATTCAGTTCAAGAGAAATCCGAGTCTGATGTCAGAAGATGTAACCAAAGAAAATAAACAAAATGACAATAATACATAAATAACAACAGACTACTAGCAGTTAACTGACATGCCAGCTCCAGACTTCAATTAAACTGATTGAAAGATTATGTCTTCATCATATGAATATCAGGCACAATCCTTCCCGTTAGGGGTTTAGTATCATACCATCATAACATATATGAGAAGAACATAACCCGTGTCATGCCAACAACTGGTTTTTAAATAAATGTGTTTAGTGCAGATGCAAAGACCTTATAAGTGAATCAATATCAACGCCAAAATATGCAATCTTTAATGACCTGACAACAGTATCGTAACTATATCCCTTCTTAATAAGTCTATTTAAAGGTTTTGTTAGTTTCAGAGGTGAATACTGACATTTTTGTGCTTTATAAAGAATATTTCCATAAAAAATTGGATGTGAAATACCTGAACGTATAAGAAGTCTGCATGTTGAGCTATATTTACGAATGATGTCCTTATACCGATGATAAAATTTAGTAAATGTTTTGACTAGTTTGTGATATCGAAAACCCTGGTGTAATAATTTTTCAGTAATACATACATTTCTCTCGTTAAAATCTAAAACATTGTTACATACACGAGCGAATCGTACAAGTTGAGATATATAAACACCGTAAGATGGTGACAAGGGAACGTCACCATCTAAAAATGGATAATTAACGATAGGAAATGAAAAATCATCTCTTTTATCATATATTTTAGTATTAAGCTTTCCGTTAATGATATAGATATCAAGATCGAGGAAAGGGCAGTGGTCATTGTTAGTATTAGCTTTATTTAAAGTAAGTTCAACAGGATAAATTTCTTTAGTATACATACTGA